AAATATATGTAAGAATTGCTTTTCACTTTTAATGCAAACAAACACCCTTTTATTTACAGAAAAATATCATTTTGAAGCGACTCTAAAGGATGTGTTTTTTATTGCCTTTATCTGTAAAAAGCACCGAACTGTAAGTAGGCATCGGAAACGACGGAAGCAGTTATCTCTTAAGCAGGGATCTTCGACATTTTGGTTAATGCAGAGGGTTCAAGGGTTTCTCAACCAAAAGCGAACAAGATGCGGTACCTAAATTAACTTGAAGTTGTGTCATCCGCTTTTAAGAATTGCACATCCACTTGGAGACTTTTGTAAGGGTGGTGGGGAGAGACGACAGGGGATGCGGATAGATTGATACAATAGGGTTTCGGGCTTATTCTGTCCTATTTCCGTCAATCATAGCCCTGACTACCAGAAGCATAAAAAGTCAAGCTTACACGGCGCAGATGTGGTCTAGCAGCTGCGCACCCATCCCTGCTTGAACATTTTTAAGGATTTCCCTCAGTACTCCACAAGTTTTTGAACATGCCGGTGTCCAGATAAACGCTTTCCCAAGCACATAAAATTGCATAATCTAAGGACTAATTGTCAACCCATGTTACCCCCGCTCACACGGACTGCACACCCAACGTTAGAGGCCCGATCCGTTGCTTATCGACCACTGCCCTCATAGTCGCGCTGCAAAGCTGTGTCCTGTCGATCGAGCGCTGGAATATTCAGTCACCTAGGCATGAAATTCACTAATCTGTTCTGGCCTCAGGGTGTTGCTCTATGACCAACTGCCTCGTATCCAGGCCCTGGACTTACATTAGCCAACATTTGTTTCGCTTGACGAGCTTCCGCTCAGTTAGCGAGTTGTCAGTGCGCGTTTGTGCGCCTGTGTCTGCCGATGAGTCTTGCACCCATGATGTGGGCCCTCGGTCACCTGCAACCAATCAGTGAACTGATGCAGTTTTATTTGTTACGTTCCGCAAGATGAGCGTTTTAAATGACGACCTCCGGGCTGGAACGGATTAATTTCTTTACCCGAGGATCCACTGTACCAATGTGAATTACGAACCTATCAAAGTTAGCCACTAATAATGCATATAGTAGTTATTAAAGTATATTCCAACATTCCAGCACAATTCTGCACTGCGTTGTCGATGCTGTGCTGACTAAAATCACGATACGACTGCGGTTTACCACGATACAATTAGTTCTGCAACTTTCCTTCACTACCTATCCTATTTTCCACCCACAAAACCCCTAATAACACCGGTCCCGCACGGCAGAATGCTGGGACCTGAGGTGTATAAGGTCCACTACTTAAACTACTCTTGCCCAAATTTTAAATTGCTATGAACATTATTGCTGCAACTGTTGCCGTCTCCTCGCTATCGCCCAACGATTTCCTTGGTTAAAAGTGTTGCTAATGTAGTCAGTTCCGAAAGGCCAATGAAATTCCGCTGCGAATGATAACCCTCATCGGCCTTGGCCGCCTTGATAACGACCAATTTCTGCCTGTC